ACACGGGAATCAAAAGTCTAGTGAGATAATTCCGGGCAGTATGTCGTGTGAGTAGAATTGGACGTTTCATGGCGTTCTGTGTTCTCCAAACTGATTTAAATACTAAGATGTCCATTCTTACAAGATCAGGCGGTGATGTAAGACAGAAGCTTTGAAATTAAGAGAGACTTGGAAATTTTAATTTATGTAACTTGCAGATTTTACTGAAATGCTGTCGTCAGATTGTCATTTGTCACCAATCAATTTAATATTGAATTTAAAAGTTTTCGTAATTTTTCACTTTTAAAGAATGCACTAGATGTAGCGCGCAGATTTCTGACGTTTGTCTGGCTTCAGAACTCTCACCACAGCCGTGATACTCCTGTAGTGTCTGATTGACCAGTTGCCCCAATTATGGCAATAAATTTGCAGTTAATTGATTGCTGAATGGGCGTAACATTGACTCAGCTGCGCTGGTTATTCGCAGCTGTCATTGTCCTCCAAACCAATCTAACAATACTGTACCACATCGGTTGTGATGTCAGGGTTCCTTCTGCATCGTGTGCAACAGTTACATTATTTAATGTTATTTATACCGCCTCGACGATTATTTATTGAAGTTTTTAGGTTGGCGTAAGTGATCAAATAATAATTAACTTCATGCCTCCATGAATTATTTGTTACAAATGCATGCCCCTACTGACTTGTCACATAATTTTATCTTGTTCTGTTCATATTTCTATGCTGTTTTATACGATTTATTTGTATTATTGAAATACTTGCGAATAGTTTGCTTTGAACTGCCAGATATAGCGGAACTGGTCTGCAGAAATACACAGTGAATTCGGACCAGAAGGTAACAGTGCCTCTAAGCGAGATAGTTCGTGCGTAGCGTAGGAAGGGTTGAAGAGCAGTGTAGGCCAACTCTCAGTGGGTTTGAATTATTTTGAGGTTTCTGAGCGATTGTCAGCTTCCCAAAAAGGAAACTGTTCTGTGAAGTTGGTTACTAAATTAATAGTCCTGCTTATGGACTATACAGGGCCTAGTGATTCAAGCAGGATTTTTCAGAAGTGGAAGTTTATTTAGAAATGATTCAGAAATATTCAGAATTCGGAAACATATCGAATCTTCTGTTGCCAGACATTGGCCTGACGCCATTTATAATGTCGAAGTTAATAACCTGCCGTGTGGACTTGTAGGTAGATACGAACGTTTCTAATGAACATGCTGTCACTAACTTCGGGGCTAGCCCTGATGATGGAGGCAGCATGTTTTTCCGAAACATTGGTATCTGCCAACATTCCCACATAACGTTGCAAAACTACAGGGTGGGTGGGACGTAAGTAGGCATTAAATAATCGCTATACATTGGAAATATAGAGGTTATAACCATTTCTCAATGCTTGCTTCCCACCCACCCTGTAGAAGACCATAATCGATATCTTTACCGTCAGAATCTTAGATCTTATAAATTATGGCACTTGGTAGCGAAAGATTTTCCGACTTGTATTAACACCGTCTTCATTTTGGCAGGGTGGCCACTTGAACGAACAATAACTTGGGATTTTGTCAAGAAATTGTATTCGTGAATTTCTTCTCATTTTTAAGAATAACATCAGATCTGAAGCTTCGTTATCTGGCTGTATAGTCCAATGGAGATTAATTGTGTTTTTCTTGGAGGTGAAAATAGAACATTCCAGTATTTTTAGACCGGTGGTGACCGCACTTTCGTTTTAACAAGAGGCATTTTTAAACCTGATCTCTTTTAGTAAAATGATAACCAGATATTTTACGCTGTTGGGCAATTGTTTGTTACGTCTTTAATTACGTATAAGTATTACTGCAACGAAAACACGTAATATTCTTGTGACTAACTTATTTCTTAAGTCAGAAATAGAGAAACTGGAATGTTGAGCTCACTACTTACACTCTACCATGTGCAATCAAAGAAAGATTAGGTGGAAAACTACCTCCACTCCTCTGCGTATTATTTAACTTGTTTATTTAAACTCGTCGATGATGGAATGTCATTGGACCGTAGTACGATGTTCTCAATCTCTGTTTTTTTTGAAATGGTTAATATTTTGAGATGTTCCATCTTGAATTCGGCCAGCTGTCTTCGTTGGGAACGCGAGTGGGCAATTTGATGGTACCTTTGAGTTGTTTAGACAGTCTTTGGCTTGTAAAGGGTTAAACACCTGTTGATATAACTGTTGGATTTGTGTATAGTCGTCTCCAACAAATGACATTCACGGCAACGTTTTGATTTCCATCAGTGAGACGTATGGGCTTCAGAAGGAAGGAGTGAGTTATTTACAGGGGATAAGGAAAGAATGTTCTTTCTTGTTTAGATCGGGGAGGGGGGGGGTGTTCAACTTTTTTCTTCCCTTGGCTTCCTGTTGGCCCCAAGGGTCAAGAAACCCTCCAGGTACTATTTTGAAAACTAATAGATATATTTCATTATCTTTTAACAACACCTGTTCAGAAATGACATCAGCGAAGTACACACGAGCTTGCAAAGAGTTTCGCGTACCCGGCCATAACTGGTCTAGGATCAGATGTGATCCACGGACCGCCAGTTAAACAACGCTGAATCAGATGATCGCCTCTTGTCATCAGAGTAACGAAGTGAGAGACGCTTCAATGGACCGTGTATGTGGCCTGAACGATTACATTTGGTAGTTTACGTTGTATACATTATTTGGATTTTGTTAAAGTTTCTGTTTGGATTTCAGGATGCTTGTAGAATTTTCATGGAGGAATGTCTTGTGAAACGCTTACTTCGTTGACCGAAAAGGTGAAGGGATGGCGGCACTAAGATGGATCTTAGATAGATAGGGAATCGATATAAATAGTTCAGACGATACGCTTTGGTTTTATCCGTGTTGAACTTCAGGTTAAGACATACTTAAGATTAGAATGTGTTGTTTGCTTGAACTTTAATGTTGTTTTTATTAGTAGCTTAGTATCATGGCGGCGACAGCGAATTGCGAGTCGGGCCGGACTAGAACAATTAGAGAAACATTTTATAGGAGTACAGCAAGTGTCGCCCGGAGTGGCTGGGAAATGCCATGTCAACCTCGTGAACATTGATTTGGCAACTTCTAAATGCGGATTGGACGCGCTGAGAAAAAACGAACAGGGGAGGCCACGAATTTCATCGTGGAGGAAATTGCAATTCCTTGCCTCGAATCGAATGCTGCAGCCCAGAAACAGGGTTGGGGCGTGGGGGTGCATATTTTACGTGCAGGCAGGCCGGCCGGTCTGTCATTCAGCGGTATCTTAAGAATGCGTGTTCTTTGATCACAACAAAGCAGGCCTCCACCCAAGAGCAGTGGGGTCAAGATGAATGTGGAAAAGCGAAAGATACGCTGTTGTGACTAGACTATGTTGTTTCAGGGAGAGAGACCGGTCCTTTACACAAGTTTTCGCCTCAGTGATCAGTCACTTTACGAACATTTATCATCTTTCATATTCAACGTAGAATATTGATGACGGCGCAATGAAGTGATTGCTTTAATGAATAACGACGCACACCACCGAAGATATGTAACCCTCCGTAGGAGGTCTGAATGATAGCATTACAGACCTACACATCGTTTGCATTGGTTTGTTCTTCGTTTATTTCTTTGGTTCTGGGCAAGAAGGGCTTAAATATTTCTGTTAACTTAAGGCGTTTTTGTCGAGAGTGAGAGAGATTTCCGATTTCGACGCAGGGTGGGATGAGAAAGGAAGATGATGAGCAGTGTGTAGTGAGAGGTTTGGAAGGAGGTGGTAGCGGCTGTTTGAGGCTACTGGTTTTAAAAAACGTACTGAGAAACGTAAGTTTTCCTGGTACAAGTTGTTGCAGGAAAGGACTTTTGTTACGGACATGTCCCCGTGGTACAGCTTTACGCATATAACGTTCGTAGGAGTTGCATTCCTTCCGCACGTGGCTGTACATCGAAAAAGTGTGTCGTGTTGGGAAGCGTAAATCCATCCGTGTAATCAGTATCGCATTCCAGACGCAGTGTTTGATCCGGATTCCTGTAGTCATCGGCTATCCCCGTTTGCAAGGTCTGTCCCATCATGTGGGGGTTGTACTGAGATGGTCCTCGCCGTTACCGCCTGCGTGCGTGGTGCTGGGATCGCAAGAGCTGAGTTTGCGCTTGCGTGGTCCCTGGTTCCTGAAGTCCAGCAGCGTTCAGTGCAACAACACATGTCCCCCTACGTTCTGTTTGTTCTTGAATCTAGTCGCTAGCACAGCACCTTGGGCAGCAGTCGAAGCAGAGATCGCCAGTCTGTCAGGGCTGATGTTATCCGAACATAAAATCTTTGTAGTCGCTACGAATCTGTGAACTTGACCGCCAGCACATGACGTTGTCATTAAGGTACTGTCCTACCTGAAAACATCTGACCACGCACACTCTCGTTTTCAGTTGTCATCGTTTGGTCTTATGCTCTGTAACGACGTGAGAACTTGGTAGGTATCAGCGTTTCGGAGAAACATTCTTCCTCAATCTTCAGCGTTGAAGTGCGATGGAGATAGTATGGTCTTCCGAATCGCTGGTTTCTCCTTTTAAATCCAGGCGACGTTACAGCCCAGAAGACAAACATCAACGTCCTCAGCGCTGTGAGAACTTAGGATGTTATCTTGGGTTGATGAAGACGACTGTCTTGTGTGATGTAGAAATTGACCGACGTTTCAGAGGTGTTTATTCACTCCGTCAACAGGGCATCACCCTTCAGAAACTTAGGTCATTTTCTATCAGACAGCTCTGTGTAACGCCCCGGAAGACATCTTGTTACTCACCGCTGTGAAAACCTGAAATATAGATAATGAATCGATGTTTGTGAGCCTCGTACACTCGCTAGACCCCCCAAGCCAGCACATTTCATGCCCACGTTTAATATTACAGGAACGTTCCAAATAGAAGTTTACGTGAAACTAAGCTTTCAGTTGAACAACTGGAACGCTGGCCGAATTATTTTGTTAATATGTTAGTGTTATGCGTCTAATTGTATTTTAATGTTGGTTATAGGTCTGGTGATGGTGACGTATTCATAGACGTGGTGCCAGAAAAGCGCTTGCCGTAAGGATGGGCATTGTGGCTGCCCTGGTGATACTAAGTTTTGGTCTCGGAGTGGTGACCTTGGCAGTCGGCGGAGAGGGAACGGAATTGGAAATGGGCCGTGGTGGTAGCAGTACAGGGCCACCACCGCCACCAGCAGTATCAGCAGCGCAACGCCCGGATGCCACAGTCACGCCTTCGCCAGTTCGACACATCTTCGCCCAATACCCTCATGCAACAGACGGCGAAGACAGCAGTGACCTGATGTTCACGCACTTGGTTGTGGACAAGGGCACGGGACGCGTCTATGCGGGGGCAGTGAACAAGCTGCTCCAGCTTGATGCTGGACTGAGAGTGGAAGAAACTGCCGTAACTGGTCCGTTCAAAGACAGTCCGCAGTGTCACGCGAGTGGTTGTGAATCGCCCGTGATTCAAACGACTCTGATGGAAAATGTGAACAAAGTACTGGTCATCGACCCCGAATCTCGAACTCTGATCGCATGCGGTTCTCTGAAACAAGGCGCTTGCGAAAAATACAAGATGGCGAACATCTCGCTCCAGCCAGAGTTTATTCCTACCAGCATCGCAGCGAACGATGAAGTAGCGTCCACGTACGCGTTCATAGGCCCCGAGCATTATAACCCCTGGGGCAGGTCCAACGTCCTCTACGTCGGGACGACGTTCACAAACAACGGGGAGTACCGCCACGACGTCCCCGCCATCTCGAGTCGCAATCTCTACAACCTGGAATTTGCAGAGTTGAGCTTCTCCAAGCAATCCATTGTTCGTATTGACGTCAAGTACAGAGACCATTTTCTCGTCAAATACGTGTACGGTTTTAACGCAAGCGAATTTGCGTACTTCGTGATCGTTCAGAAACAGTCTCCGCTCCCAGGACAGGAGGAACTCGGATACGTGTCTCGTCTCGCTAGGACCTGCATTAATGATGCTAATTACGATAGCTACACTGAGGTGACGTTGCAGTGCCTGGTTAGGGACCCCCAAAGTCCTGGGTCTGTGGTCAATTATAATCTAATTCAGGACGCCAAAGTCACGCAGGCAGGAGCGGACCTCGCTATGAGCCTCGGGATCAAGACTTCGGATCCCGTGTTCGTGGGAGTGTTCGGGCCGAGTCTTGGAATCAGCAACGAACCGCAATCTCGTTCTGCGGTGTGTGTGTACAGTCTGCAAGATATTGAGGCGAAGTTCAACGAGAACATTCATATGTGCTTCAACGGTAGCATTAAGTACAGGAATATGGACTACATATCTGGTCTCATCATGGATGGCAAGTGTCCTATGGCTGGGGTGAGTAACAAATATTTCGATTCTCCTCTCTTTATTTCTGCGGACTTCGGGGTTGAACCGCTTCGATTGCTTGGTGTGTGGAAGTCGTCCACTTGCTGAAAACTTTGGGGCTCAGCCCCCTTGTGTCGTGACGCTCGTCTGTTAAGTCTCATTAGGCCTTTTTTTTGTATAGTTAATGTTGGTAGTTTTGTCACGGAAAAAATACTCTACGTTATTAATTTCGAGATTGCAGCATGCAGTCTTCAATTATGTGTTGGTATTGAAATATTTTACGTTGTCGATTAAAGTTTTATCCCTTGTCATCGATTTAAAATTCACCCATAGAATTCTCGTAGCTTTTATTGACTTTCTTCTAGAGTTTATAAATTAAGTGTAGAATCGCAGCCTAAGAATTTTCTATAAGGTAACAGCAGAGTGTGTCTTGCAGCTTATGCCAAAATCATGTCTTCAGTGCACACATCGCTCTGAATCCGTTGTTGGCGAAGATTCAGAAGAAATGAGTACTTCAGTTTGAAGATGGCTGTCGTCTAGGGCGTAGTCTTGTAGAAGATTACCGACGTTTCGGAGGTGCTTATTCCTGACATCGTCAGGGCGACGGTCTTGATGACTGAAAAGTAAAAGAAATGTTACGTTTATATAATAGTGACTGTTTTGTGTCAGATTCAGTTCGCATTTCTGTTATCACAGTTGTGTGACGTGACAAATTACCAAATCAGCGCCGGACAATTAAGAGAGAGGCAACATGCTTGTAGCCTAGCACTCGGTGATTTAAAAGTTTGGGTCTCTGTAGGATATCTTGAACGTAACTTTATTTCCACAGGTTGCCGGAAGATTAGTGTTTTTCTTTGGCCTTGATATTGGTGTAAAGTGTGGCTATTTTCAAACACTCGTCGTTCTCACAGAGGTTTAGCCTACAATGTTCTGCATTTTATTCTTTTGGGCTTTATTTAGCATTCCTTATAACACTGCCAAGACACTATGAACACTAATCTGTTTATCATAAGCCAAAATATTGAAAGCTAATTCTTTATCTTATCGGTTATTCTTCACCGAATGAGACTGTTGAAATTGCTTCAGACCAATTTATAATGGCAGTGTTACGAAAATATGAATTCTCGCGGTGGGCAAAGGAAGGTGGTAAATAAAGTTACCACAGACTTTCAAAGTGTTGGACGTCCCTGTTAGATAGTAAGTGGGATTTGAAGTTTTCGCGACGGTGAGTCCGAAGAAGTCTTGTCTTCTGCCTGTTGTGATTTCATGTGGAGGATGGCTTTAAGGCTTCGTCGTAGTTCCTCTTTCGCGCCGCTTAGTGAAAAATACGGGTTGAGTCACGCAAACGAAAGCAGCTTACTCACTAGTCGCCATTTTACAATTCCCAGTTTCTTTCTCCTTCTTTGAGTGGAATCTTGATTTCCCATGACTTGTATTGTTTCTTTTATTGCATTACCCAGCCCCTTCCTCTCCGTAGGAGACTGTTCTTCATTGGTTCAAGTTTTGAAATCTAACGAGATTCCAGTCGCCAATTGGTGTTCGCCCAACTCTGTAATATGATGTAAGGATTGCCCACTTACCACGACAGGTGTCAAGGTGGGGGGGGTTCTTTTTTGCTCCGCCCCTGTTTGTCCACGTGATATGACGCCGTCACCCCCTCTCCTCCCAAGTTCAGTTCAAACTACTTTTTGGCTGTGTTTTCGAA